GAACTCACATGGGCTTTAGTGGTCAAGAGGCACTCCCAGTGGAAAACGGAGACCTGGAACCTCCTCCGACATATATTGCGCAGCCAGCTGCACCGTCGCCTTTGCGACGCACGAGTAAGCGAGAGCTGCCAAGCTCCTCCTCGTACCAAGCTCAGGCTGCCAGTGCTGATCAGCCCCAAGAAGATCGTCACGAGGAAGATAGCAACAAGAAACCTCGCACAATCCTGGACTATCAAGTGGAGCTGGTGTGATTGTTGTTGGATTAAAGAATCGATTCAGGAAGAGGAGTAATACTACAAGATAGAACTTAGCCTAACCTACTTCCATCTGATCCCACTAGACGAAGAGACGGGATCGAAGCGATTGCACTTCCTGGTTCCTTCGTGTTATGTAGCAAATCGTCTCCTTGCAGGCGGCTCCGCAAGAACAAGCCAGGGGCCGCCGCCAAGGGTGCGTTCGAGCACACGGCAGCACACAACCGCTGTGGAACCCGATCGAAGCCATGCAGTCGCATACCGGTAGCACAGACAGCCCACTGTGGCAATACCTAAACGCGTTCTAGTCTCTCAGCCTTCCTCCTATTATTTTCTATCGTCCAACCCTCAACAATCCTGTGGTAGCTACTGTGCATGGGCGATTCGTCGGCCGTTCATGCATTCGTCATGAGCATCCTTGGGGTCCTTGCCTCCATAGACCACTCCCATAAGTCCAGGAAAGAATTGGTCAATCGTCTTGACACAGAGGGCCACTGTATGCCCAACCATTTCCGTAGAGAGCTCGGATCCCACCAAGTGGTTGGAGACTCAGCGGGCTCTTTACAAATCGGGAAAGATCTTGTCAGATCGACAGGAGAGACTTGAAAGCATTGCGTTTGTGTGGGACGGGACTCAGTTGCCCATCAAGCGCAAGCGAAGGCGCCAATCGGAAGAAGGAGAAGCAATAATCGAACATCATGGTGAACCTCTGGCAAACGAACTAGGGGAGATGATGTCATTATGGAAGACCAGGAAGGTGGCAAGAAAGAGGAGATGACAGCAAAGGTCATACAGCAGGATTCACCGACAAAAGCCGAAGGTGTCTCACCAGGGTACCAACGTCGCAGTTGTGGTTGCTGCTGAAACAGGGGATAAACCACTTGTTTCTACAAATAATGATACTCAGCCATCTGAACAATCCGCCGAAGTACCAGCTGAACAAATCACCGAAGGGCCATCTCAAGTTGAAAACAGTACAGCAGCGGCAGCTCAGCCTGAAGAAAAACACAAGACTGAAAGCAGCCAACCTGAAGCAACTGCAACAGCTCAACCCGAAGCAAACCAGGCTGAAAACAGCACGCCCAGCAGATCGTCTCCTTGCAGGCGGGGCCACAACAAGGCTTATGAACAGAGGATCCAGATCTGTGGCAATACCTAAACGCGTTCTCGTATCTTAGTCTTCCTCCTATTTACTATCGTCCAACCCTCAACAATCCATCCTACTGTAGCTACTGAGCATGGGCGATTCGTCCGCCGTTCATGCATTCGTCATGAGCATCCTTGGGGTCTTTGCCTCCATAGACAACACCCATAAGTCCTGGAAAGAATTGGTCAATCATCTTGACACAGAGAGCGACTGTATGCCCTACCATTTCTGTGGAGAGCTCGGATCCCAGCAAGTGGTTGGAGCTCTTGAAGCGGACTTCCCCATCGCTCAAATCCATCTCAAAGTTTCCAATGGAGAGCCCATAGTTGACCCACGTGATAAATAGAGCTGCTTGGGTGCGCTTATCTTCTGGGACACTGGCGGGTGCCTTGATGTAAAAGTGGAATTTCTTGTCCGCCTCCTCGGTTGCAATGACGACACGACTCAATCCCACCTTGCAGTTCATCCCAAATACGATAGTTCGGCTGCGAGCGTTTTCTCCTGGTTCTTGAATTTCATATTTGAGGCCCAGTTCATCCAGACCAGCCTTGGTGGTTCGGAGCATGGGTCCTTCGTCGCTGGTGGCGGCGAGTTGTTCCGGCAAGCCACCCAAACCGGCAGCAGCCGGAGAAGATGCTTCTACGCCGCTGGCCTCTTGGGCGGCACGCATCACGGCGCCAGCGAGGAGCTGAGCCAGTTCACCCATTCCGCTCTCTTCTGTGGCCGCTTCTTCGGTGGGTGCTTCGGCGTCAACGGCCTCTTCCTCAGCTTTTTCCGCGGCCTCTTCCTCTGTTTTTTCCGCGGCATCTTCCTCGGTCTTCTCGCCCTCCTCCTCCTCATTCTTTTCGGCAGAATCCTTTTCTTCCTCAGCGACAGAGTCGGAGTGTTGGGTGCTGGCCTCGGTGGTATCTTCCGTTCCTTCTGTCATCTTTTCAGGTTCCACGGCGACATCAGGGATCGAGATTTCAGAGGTGGGTGCTGGAGCTTCCATGATTATTGTTTTGTTGGTGTGATTTTCTTTCTGAGTTTCTGTTTTCCAATTCTGGTTAAATAATTTTGTGAGAGCTACTGGGTATCTGGCCTCCAAATCCAATGCGAGCAATTCTGGAGCACGTTTAATGGAAGCGACACGGCTGGGATGGTGGACACGTTACTCAGTCCTGCCTTTGAGAACAGAAGAACCACTTGACGACGATGGCCGAAATGGCCGCCTCAACAGAGTCGGGGACTTGGTTGCTGTCCTCTTGGATCTTGCTAGCTTGGAATGGAGGGAGAACGTGGATGAAGGGCTAAAGTGTGCCGCGGTCGACAAGAGGAAGATTTATAGTTTTCAGCTTATTAAATCCAAAACGTAGAGTACAAATGCGCGTCCAGGTTGCCTCCAACAACAGTTACTTCAAACGTGGGAGTTTTTTTCTCAAAGGGACTTCTATCGGCGACAAGAGCAATGGAACAGCTCACGATTGGTGTTGTGCATACCCCCAGTTGGAAGCAGGGAAAGCCACCATGATCCCAAGATAACACTGACCACAGAGAGAAAGAGAAAGAAGAAAGAGTGCTCGAAGATAAGAAATAATAACTGAAAGAAGAAATCTAAAAGAAAGACGAGAGAAAAATGAGCCTATTGGCCGCCGAAGACTGGGAAGCCACCTGCCTCATCTTTGACGACGATAACCGACGCACCACCACCATGCTGGACAACCAAGGAGGTCTACTCCGAGGATCGATTGACTTGACGTTCAAGTTATCGGACACTGTATTTTGTCGCCGTGTGGCTCCTTATGACCACATGAAACCTCGGTTCAAGTTTTGGACGGTTCTCCATGATTCTTCTTATGATGAAAAGAAGGAAGGCGATGAGAATGAAGCCAAGCTGGTCTTTCGCGTCGTCTTTTGGTGCAAACCAGGCGATCCTGCTGAAGAAGAAGAAGAGGATGAGTTGTACAGCCGAGTGGATATCTCGCTGTTGTCCGAGTACCCACATTCCTTTCCTGCCCAGTCCAAGACCCTGTGGCTGGATTGGATGAAGAAGACAGCTTTCCAGGTTCTCCAAGATGAAAACCTTTCTTATTCTGTCTGTGTCTTTGTGGAAAACCGTGCACTGGACTTTTTCACAAAACTATACGAGTTTGATGACGGAGCGACCAGCCAAAGCTTGATCTGTTTTGATGATGTCGGCCCGGCTTTTTACGATGTTCCGACCCTCATGACAGCCTCCAGCGTCAAACGATTGCTACCTTTACAACGACAATACACTAATGGAAGTACCGCTACTTGGCACGATACCTCCAAACTATCCCCTAAAGAAAAAGCCATGGTTGTCCCCCTTTTGCTGAGATGGAAGGAATGGTTGCCAATTCAGTGCCCCATTTGTTTTGATGTCGTCTCGCCCAAGGATGCCTCCATTTGTCCTTGTGATCATGGCTTTTGTACAGACTGCTTGAGAACCTACCTGCGCATCAAAGCCGAGGATCTCAATTCGGAAAACTCCAACAATCCCTTTGTTTGTCCGCTCAACACGTGCCGCAAAGGCATGAAGATTGTGGGGTTTGTCAAAAAGTTCTTGTCGCGCGACTTGATGGACGACGTGCGAGCGTGGTACAAGGATATCAAAACGCCGCCCTGCTATTCGCTTCCGGGCTGTCTCAAAAAGGATTGCCGGGGCGCCGTGTTGAGAAAAGAAGCTGTAGATATGTTTATGATTTCTTGCGAAGTTTGTAGTGGGCGCTGGTGCGAATTGTGTCTGCAACGAGCACCTTTGGGCAAGCAGCATGAGGACACACCCAACTGTAAACTGGAAGTGTGTCAACAATTCTGCGAACGGTACCTGGCCGCCAGCGACAAAGCCAAGGCATCTTGCGAAGCTAGGTTCCCGTGGATCAAACTGTACGCCAACTCCAGGGTTCACGATCAAACCATTGCGATCTGGATCAAGGAAAATGGACAAATCTGTC